ATTGGATAGGCGTTAAAATGTCAATCAAAACATTTTCAAAACACATATCAAGGAAAGAATTTTATTTCACTATTTACAGGGTGTCTCCAGAATTTATAAAAATCAATTTAAGCCTTTTTATGACCCTTTTTAAGACCTGCACAAATAAAATTAACACCGTATGAGTGGAGTTGGGCAGTGTCTATGGTAACATAATAAACCGTAAAATGACATGATTTACAGTTCAGATACAGGTTTTCACAAAAACAATCTCATAAAATTATAAACATCACATCTCAGCCTTTAAAACATTTGTAAGAAAAGGGGTGAGTCAAATGTATAAATTATTATATTAAAATATATAAAAATAAGTCTTACTGTTTTAATTATTTCGATTTTTAGAAGGCACATTAGCTTCTTTCACATTTACAACTGTGCGTGTTTGCTGCATAATAACATGGGTCAATTTTTGCATTGGTCTGACAAAACCATCCGACAGAAAAATGCAAATTAATTAATTTGGAACAGCAGAAAAATAGCGGTTTCCCCGGTAACGGCTGTACACAAAGCAGCACTGCACTTTATCATTAAAATAACATACCACTGTCATACCTTAAGTTAAACATGGCATCTCACCTCTTTGTTCACAATATCCTTGCCTTGATTGGCAAGTGATGAGCCATACATCATGGCAGCACTGGCCACTGGATCAGCAAAGAGGCTGCCCGCTCCAGGATCTTGACCTCCTGCCGATGCATCAGCCATATTATATCCTGAACTATAGTAGTTCTGGTTGTTCATGGGTGGGGGCCCAGAACTGGTGTCATCAAAAAGAAGCGGACCCCCAATGGGTGGAGATGCTCTGGCTCTGGGCTTTGCTGAATTGAGAGAGAGAGAGGAAAAAAAAAGAAATTACTGATGAAGCAACATCACATTTAGAGAATTCTCACATAAAATATATGGCTGTTTATGCATCAACAACTAGGATCGTATCACTTCCAATTTCATTCTTCAACTATGACCTATTAGTAACTAATTACATGTGATTTGGCAAAGAATTAAACAGTTCACACAGCACGTCATCAAGCTAAGATATCTAATTAGGTCTAATCAGTTACTTTACAATCTGCAATGTACTTTAGTGCCAAGCTGCTCGTGATGTGATCAATTTAGGCTTTGCTGATTTTAAGGTAACAGTATGTTGCTGTCCACGTATCTCAAAGAACAACAATCTTTTGCTAAGTTCTTTCATACGTACTTGCCCGGTATCCATGCTGTTGGAAATCCATCTTCTCTGCTGTTTTGAATTCCAAAAACAATTTGATTAGCTTCACCACCAGAGAAATCTGCAATCCAAACGATTAAAGTCTGCCACTACTAATAATACACTAGCTTGCTATGTAGCTAATCTGAAAGATGCCTAACAAAACATGTCAGATTTATCTTGAATGCAGTACCAGAATTATTACAAAAACACTTATTTTGATGCGGATATAAACGATCGGTAGTCACATAATTTAAATTTGAAATATTGTTTTCTAAATAAGTTCTCTTGTTAGCTTATACTCACAGGTACGCCTTCACTCTTACACCCGCCTCGCCTGGCTTCTCATTGGCTGATGAGAAATGTGCCTGCGTGGCAGAGATGAAAAACCTCACAATTTCATTGGTTAAAATGACGGTTGCGTAGACTGAAGTTCTTTCATGTTGATTGGCTGTAAGCAAGGCAATCAAAAGAAAGTGGCGTTGCGTAGTACTAGGCAACCGAAAGGAAAATACATAAAACAGTGGCGTTTATTAAGTTTCACTGGTAATTAAGCTTCACATTTATTAAGCTTCACACACACACACACACACACACACACACACACACACAC